CCCTCCCCCATCACTCTCCCTCAAACACGCGGGTTTGAACTGAGCCGGTCCACTCATACACAGACATTTCGCAATAAATCTATAAATGTGTTTTCTTAATGACATTTTTCTCTCTCGCTTGCTTTACTGCACTGCAGTAAATAACATATAACACGTAAATGTGGGTCACCGACTGTCTGTGTTACGGGAAGTCCAGCCGACAGGCTGCCAGTCGTCAGACTGGGCGGAGCCACAGAATCAGCGTAGAGGTCCGAGCCCTGACCCAGCATTGTCCAGGGTCGACTGCACTGTCTCTGGCAGATATTGCCCTGGTCGCAACGCCTCTGAATTACTTTGCATTTTTTATGTTCCCTACGATGCTTCTAATTAACCTCCTGTCTAATCGATGCCCTGCTTCTTCCCTCCTTCATGGTTGGAACTGAAAACGTCACTGATGCTGACCAGGGACGTGAACTAAAGAATTCTCCCTCTTTCACTCGAACCCGGTCTCTTTCTGGGACCCCCGAGTCTGACCCAGATTCCAGGCTGAGACCAGGCCGGACACCCCACCAACACTTCCCTCCGGAAGCGTCTCCTGTGACCGCATCTTTGGGGGTCCTTGTTCGGAGAACTCGGTTTCAGAAGGAGAGGATCTGAGGACGTCAGACTCTTCCCTTGCCTAAGAGACACCCCGGGTGTGACAAACCACTTGAAAACCCAGGGCAGTCCCTCTCCTCCTGCCCAACCAGAACAGGAGAAACTTCCAGGAGCCGGACCTCCGAGTTTTCTCTTCAAAGCAACGACAGACAGAGACCAGGAACAGAGTAGCGATTCATTATATCCCAGCCATTCTCCTTGTGTAGTTACAATCCTTCCTCCACACGAGCCCACCCCCGCCCTCAGTAAAACAGTGACAAGCAGAGCCCCCTCCCACCGGCCATCTGCTTCGCTGCTGGTTTTCTCTGTTTTATTTTTTTTTAATTCCATAAGACATCATCTGCATATTGTCTTGGCGTTCTCACGGGCCCCGACACCTGAAATAGTTTCCCAGCTGTGTCTCCTGAGAGGCCCAGAAAAAATGCTGCCCGGGCTTAAAAAGGAAAACCTGCGCCGAGCCCCGTCCCGCCCACCACAGTCTCCCGGGAAGGACAGCATCGCTCCCAGAACGGACCCCTGCGTCGCCATCACCGAGCCCTCTGCACCTCGCGCCCAGGCCACGCGCCCCGGCTGCCTGCAGTCCGTCTGGGTGGAGCCTGGCTGGGCCCAGCGTTCGATCCAGGGCCCCGCGGTGAGCCCGCGACTCCGCAGGGTTCCTCTGCGACTCCGCAGGGCTCACAGGTGAGCCTCGTGAACAAGTGCGCAGAGCAGGTGGGACAGGTGAGCAGCCAGAGCACCAGGTTCACAGAACACCAACCGCAGCTCCGCACTTTGCATGTTGTTTTGTTCTCTTGTTTTTATTAAAAAAAAAAAAAAAAAAAAACTAGACTCGTTAAGCCAGCCTTACGGACCTGTGCTCTCTCCAGCCACATCCGTTCCCGACCACACCTGTGTTCACGGTCTCGCCCGCTGTCCCTGAGGTCTCCCCTCAGGTCCTTGCAGCCTGGGTCCCTCTGTGAGTTACCTCAGCTCCCAGGTGAATCGCTCCTGATTTCACCCCGCTCTCTGCGGTGGTCCGATGACCTGCTGTTCCGTTCTCCCCAGGTGCCCCACCCTCACCTCGGTATCCACAGTGCCCGTCCATCTAGGTGAGCTCCTCCCTGTGGCCGGAGTCCGAGACCGTCCGACACACGGGGTCACCCAGGCTCCCGCGCCCCTAAACCCGGCCCTTTCCTGCACCTGCCACTCGTCCTGGGCACCCCACGGCCAGGTCTGGGTGTTTGGGGACAATGCCACTTGGGGTCTGAAAACGAAGCCCTGGAGGGTTGGAGGGTCGTGCTTCCCGTGCGGCTGCAAGTCCAAGGACGCAGTGCACTTGCCTTCTTGAGTCAGGTTTCGTTTTCTTGCCTTTTTTTTTTTTTTTTGGTCAATCCTCCCCCAGGATACTCTTTTATTGATTTTTAGATGAAATGGAAGGAAGAGAAAGAGAAACATTCATGTGAAAGAGACACATGGATTGGTTGCCTTCCGCATGACCCTGACCAGGGCTGGGGATCAAACTGCACCCCAGGTACGTGCCCTCGACCGGGAATCAAACCCGCGACCCTTCAGTCTGAGGCCGACGCTCTAACCACCGCGCGCAGCGGCCGGGGCAGTTTTTGCTTCTTAAGGGCCCGTCGCCTAGTCTACCGTTGCATCCTAGCCGTGTTTATACCGGGTTCTTACTTTAGAGAACAGATTTGCCTTGTCGGCCTAGGAGAAGGGAGAGGCCAGGAGCCTGTGTGAGGAGCAGGGAGCTGGTTCGAGCTGCCGCAGCTGCCCGAGCTCAGGTTTCACGGTCTGCGTGGCGGTCGAAGGGGCAGACACGAGGAAGGTTGTGTTCTGCACGTCCAGACAGTAACCGCCAAAGCTCCCGTGGGTTCCAGGTTCGGGGAGCTGACCAGACGTCTGCCAGTTCCAGTCGGAGCAGAACCTGAGCCTTCGGACCCGCCCCAGAGCCCAGGGTGTGCAAACGTCTCTCCTGGGTCATGCACACGAACCCTTAACACTGTTGAAACGTCAACCAGTCCCACAGATGGATGGTTTGGCAGGGGCTGTCCAGTTACAATGTGTCCCTCTTCGGTGATGAATTCAAAGAACTTAAGGATGCATAACGGAAGAAAACTTCTCTCGGGACGCCAAAATGCAAGCAGAGGCGAGGGGCCCTGCGGCCGAGCGCAGCCACCTCCTCTCCGGCGTCCCTGTGCTGTGCGGGCTCAGGACCAGGGCGCCCGGTCGGAGACGTTCCGGAGCCTGGACTCGGAGGCCGCGCCTGGCGGCCACGGGCTGCCCACAAACGCCCGCACTGACCGGCAGGTTCACACTCGGGCAGGTGCAGGCTTCCTGCGCGCGTTTCTTCAGTTCCGCAGGTGTCCACGCGCTGGTGGAAAGATGTTCCCAGAAGCACGAGCCTCGGGCTGAAGGACTGTTGAAGCAGAAGCCCGGCTGTGCTGCAGGGAGAGGAAATTCACAAAACCACTCAGGTCTGAGGGTGAGTTTTTCGATTCTGGCAAAGGGGGGACTGATTTTGCAGTTACAGAAAAAAGGTAAAGAAAGACCTGGGGGAGGGGAGCAAAACTAGGGATTTCGTAGAGAAACACGGGTTCTACCGGGACTGTCAGCAGAAAGGCGTGGAAGGCGCATTCCAGGGGACAGCACAGGATCACCCGGAGAAAAATAATTCCACGCCGCTGTGGACGAAGAAGACAGCGGACGCCCACAACCAGGCGCCGTGACTCCCGAGTGGGCTGTGGGCAGACGCTGGCTGGTTGTCCTGACCGAGACCTGAGCCCACACCCCCGGCTCTGCAGGCGGCTGCTCCTCCCTAAGAGTCAGCACAGCTGAAGGAAGGACGGACGGACGCTGAGCGGAAACAGGGTAATCCAGGAGAGCGCATGTGGGGCCGTGAGGAATCGCTCTTCTTCCTTAAATCCTCACCCGGGGATATTTTTCCATTCATTTTCAGACAGAGTGGGAGGGAGGGAGAGAAAGAGCGAGAGACAAAGAAACATCGATGCGAAAGAGACACATCAACTGGTTGCCTCCCACACAACCCCGACCAGGGCTGGGAACTGAACCGCAACCGAGGTACGTGCCCTTGACCAGAATCGAACCCGAGACTCTTTGGCCTGCAGGCCGACGCTCTAACTGCTGAGCCAAACCGGCCAGGGCGAGAAATTGCTTTTCTCTAGAAGAGCTGACCGGGGTGAGACTTTATCCGGTTTACCTAACACCCAGGCAGCCCAGTAATGAACATCCTTAGTTGTTGGTCCTCTGTAAACATTGTTGATTCCTACATTGTATCAGGTTGTCCACATTTCTGTGTTAAAAATAAAATCCAAACAAACCAGTCCCAGTGAAATGATCAGGGTACAATGTATCCCAAAATCTAAGGAAAGTTGATACTATTCCAACTGTGCACATTTCATAAGAACAAGGAGGTTCCATGTTACAATTCAGTACGTGAATCTGGAAGATCCAAGTGTCTTAAAGGTCAGTTCAAATATTTCATTTCATGCCTTAATTTTGTTCATTGTTACATAACTCAAGAGTGTTGCAGATAAATAAAATGTTTATCATCTGCATTTTAGCCAGTAAGTCCTGCACCACCGTTGGACATCCAGCCTCCATGTCGTTCCCGTGTGAACCACAATCCTGGCGGCGTGACCGCCGTCCGGGCGCCGTCCGGGCACAGCGGTGCCGGGCAAACCTGGTTACGGGGGATTCACATCAGGAGCGATGCAGCTCGGTCTCTGATGGCTGAGAAGACTAGTAAATGGTCCTAAATTTTGTACAACACGACACAGCTGTGAGGTCATCCTGGCCCTCTCACGATTTCCATCCCAATGACGTCCTGGGTGGGTCAGAAAGGAAATGGGAGAGACAAGCCTAGAAAAGTGAAGTTTGTGGCGTCCGACTTCTCTGCGGAACAGGCTGCTGGGAATGAGACCTTGGAGCCGGGTGGAGACAGGGACCCAGAGGTGGGCTGAGGCGGGGGCAGCATCTGGCCGGGTGCTCCCCCCTGCGGGCTCCCTGTCACCCTGGGCTCACCAACCCAGTGACCCGGAGGCCTGGCCCACGCCGTGTGTGGGCGGCCTAATTACAGTAACCTGAAATGTGGCCGGTTGGTAGCCAATTTTCTCTTTATGAGGAAGGCCCACTATGATTTGTATAATCATCGTCGTCATTAATACCTCAAAGGCAACTGGGAAATGCAGAGCGGGGGGGGGGGGGGGGACGTGGGCAGGGCCGGGCCGGGCCTTTAAATCGCCTACACGGCAGCCGGCAGCTCTGCAGTGTATTCCGCTGGCCGGTCTCTCTCGCACACGCACCTGGCGTTGACCACATCTAACTCGCGTCCCCTGCCTGGAAGATCCCGGCAGGTCATGACTGAGGACGAGCTGTCCTCCCTGGTGGTGGACAATGGGTCAGGGGTGTGCAAGGCCGGCTTTGGGGGTGACGACGCCCCCCGGGCCGTGTTCCCCTCCATGGTGGGGCGCCCCCGGCACCAGGGCGTCATGGTGGGCATGGGCCAGAAGGACTGCTACGTGGGGGACGAGGCCCAGAGCAAGAGAGGTATCCTGACCCTGAAGTACCCCATCGAGCACGGGGTGGTCACCAACTGGGACGACATGGAGAAGATCTGGCACCACACCTTCTACAACGAGCTGCGCGTGGCCCCCGACGAGCACCCCATCCTGCTCACCGAGGCCCCCCTGAACCCCAAGGTCAACCGGGAAAAGATGACCCAGATCATGTTCGAGGCCTTCAACACCCCCGCCATGTACGTGGCCATCCAGGCCGTGCTGTCCCTGTACGCCTCCGGCCGCACCACGGGCATCGTGATGGACTCCGGGGACGGGGTCACCCACACGGTGCCCATCTACGAGGGCTACGCCCTCCCGCACGCCATCCTGCGCCTGGACCTGGCCGGCCGGGACCTGACCGACTACCTCATGAAGATCCTCACCGAGCGTGGCTACAGCTTCACCACCACGGCCGAGCGGGAGATCGTGCGGGACATCAAGGAGAAGCTGTGCTACGTGGCGCTGGACTTCGAGCAGGAGATGCTCAGCGCGGCCGCGTCCTCCTCGCTGGAGAGGAGCTACGAGCTGCCCGACGGGCAGGTGATCACCATCGGGAACGAGCGTTTCCGGTGCCCCGAAGCCATTTTCCAGCCGTCCTTCCTGGGCACCGAGTCCAGGGGCATCCACGAGACCGCTTTCAACTCCGTCATGAAGTGTGACGTCGACATCCGCAAGGACCTGTACGCCAACACGGTGCTGTCGGGGGGCAGCACCATGTACCCGGGCATCGCGGACCGGATGCAGAAGGAGGTGTCCTGCCTGGCGCCCGGCACCATGAAGGTCAAGATCATCGCCCCCCCGGAGCGCAAGTACTCGGTGTGGATCGGCGGCTCCATCCTGGCCTCGCTGTCCACCTTCCAGCAGATGTGGATCAGCAAGCAGGAGTACGACGAGGCCGGCCCGCCCATCGTCCACCGCAAGTGCTTCTGACGCCGCCACCCGGCCACGCCTGCTGCGGTGTGAACCCCGGGCTCCTCCATCCTGGGCTCCTGGGCTCCTGCCAGACACCCACAGCTTGGCCCCGTCAACCCCAGGAGAACTGGGTGGAAGTAAGTGCCGAGGAGTGGGGTCCTGAGAACGTTCCCCGGATGGAGAACCGGCATCTCCAGCTTCAAAGACTGGTTCGTGCTGAACACACTTAACCGTTGCAGCAGCACAACCTGTAAAAATATCTGTTTAGCAAATAAGTCTTGTGCATTGTGTTTTGTTTTATTTTCCTTCTTTGTATAGAGAGAGTGCATTATAAGGGTCAGTGATATCTATATACACATAAGCACCAGGGAAATAAAGTATCTTTTAAAATTCTGGTAAATTTGGTGATGTCAGCAGCTAACGGGAATTTCTTGACTCTCCAATGGTCAGTCTTAGTGGCTCCATAGTTTAAGTTATTTTTCTTTGTAAAGAAGTATAATGATGCAGCAGTATTCCATTAATGTTGTTTAGAAATCAACTCAATTTTCGGATCAGAGTGAAGTCTGCTGGTCAGACATAAATTTTAATGTCTTACCTGTTGGACTTCAACACCATAGAGAATGCCTTTTTTTTTTTTTTTTATTGTGGTTAATCCTCATCTGAGGATATTTTTCCATCAATTTTCAGATAGAGCGGAAGGGAGAGAGGGAGGGAGAAAGGGGGGAGAGAGAAAGAGAGAAACATCAATGTGAGAGAGATACATTAATTCGTTGCCTCCTGCACGACCCCAATCAGGGCCAGGGATCAAACCTGCAACCCAGGTGCATGCCCTTCACTGGGAATCGAACCCGAGACCCTTGGGTCTGCCATCGGACTCTCTAACTGCTGAGCCAAACCAGCCAGGGCATAATGCCTAACTTTTAAAATAGGGAGATACCGTAATATCCAGTCAGTGTCATTATGCTGCAGTTTGACCAGAATAGTCTAATTTCAATTTCTCAGCTTGAGAGCAGGTCTTGCATAATCGCTGTGGGACACAATTTTGGATCTTTCTCTTCTCAAGAATTTCACGGTTTCACAGCTGCAGCATCTCTGAAAATTACAAATTCTCAGTCCAGTCCAGTAATTCCGGTTTTATTCTGGAAATATTTCAGAATAACTCCGCCCTTGTCCAGTTGCTAAACTTCTTTATGAAGAATCTAAGAGGCTCCCGTCTTAGAGACCATCATTGCCTCTTCCTTGGTGTCTAAAAATTTCTAATGAATCCCATGATCGCTTTCAACCAACTTTCAATACTAGTGCATTTATTTCAACAGATGCTGTGGTTTCTGATTATCTGGATATCAGAGTTATTTGTGTTTTTCTGGGTTTAAATTTTGAAGTCTCTGAGGGATTGCTTATTAAAACATCATCAGATTCTTAAGAAGAAGGAATTTCTTTTTTCCTTTTAGATGGGAAACTTATGCTTCTGTCTCAAAGCTCTAAATAGGTGTTTTTTAAGCATTTTGTACTTGAGATAAATCTTTTCAAAGAATTTGATTGTTCCTTATTTCCTCTATCTCACAATACAATTTTTAAAAACTGCATTGAATCAAAGTTAATCTCCCAAGTCTTTGTTGTATAAGACTTGGACTTTTCTTTCTCCTTTAATTAATTTTAAATACTTATAATTGCTTTACACTTGCATTTCTTTTATTTCCCCTCACATCTCCCCAAAGAAATGTTTTAAAAAGAATGCCCACTAGCCCTGGCCGGTTTGGCTCAACGGTTAGCTCATCGGCCCACGGACCAGAGGGTCCCGGGTTTGGTTCCCGCTAAGGGCACGTACCTCAGTTGCGGTTTGTCCCCGGCCCCAGTTGGGGTCGTGTGGGTGGCGACCACTCGATGTGTCTCTCTCATGTCGATGTTTCTCTCTCTCTCTTTCTCTCTCTCTCCCTCCTGTTCTATCTGAAGATAAACACAAAAATGTCCTCAGATGAGGATTTAAAAAAGAAAGAAAGAAAGCCCACTAGTGGGTCAAGTCCTAAGTGCCGGGTCCTCCCTGTGCACAGGCGGCTGGGCGGATGGCCTGGGCTCCGGGGATGACCGGGCAGAGGGGCAGCGATGAGGATTCGCCCGGGTTAGGTGCTGAGACACCTCCCTTGCAGGGCAGCCCTCACACTCCGACCACGTCCCAACCCCCACAAGCACATCCACCCACAGAGAACTCACGGGCGGGAAGGGGAACGCCAGGGGAGTGCTGAGCCCTGGCCGGTGGGATGAAAGTGTGCGCCCCGAAACGCAGACCCAATAAACCGCGGGCTTTGGACGTCCGCTCGTCACACAGACGGACAGTGGGATTCGGGGGAAGCGTCCGTCTCACACGTGGGTTTTAGGATCTGTGCCGTCCATTCGTCCGTCCCCCATGCCAGACACCTGCTCAGCTCCTAGGTACTTCGAGAACTTTGTGAGGCTGACCCCCTGCCTGGGCACTGAGAATCCAAATGTGCAGCCAACTCAAGGCTCTGAACCACCAGAACCCAGAGCCCACAGACCCCAGAGGCAGCACAGGGCTGTGCACCGGCCCCCCCGCACCCCCGCACCCACCCCCGGGCACCGGCCAGCACCACGGAGAGGCTGCAGGGTTTCCACGCTCCCTCCAGGGTCCACCTGGACTGAGACCTAGGGCTGGGGCCGCACCACAGCCCCGCCCCCCGCCGGTTCCTGGTCACAGGTAGCAGGGTCCACACCCAGCACCTACGCAGTCCCGAGTGGGCTCGCTTCTCAGCGAGCAGGTACAGCCTGCGAGGGCCTGACGTCCACAACTCTACAGTAGAGAAGGGCCTAGAAGTGAGCAGCACCTTTTCCAGATACTCCAGGAATAATCCTCGGAGGTCAGCCACCTGCGCTGACGCATCGTGCGACCGTGAACCCAATGCCCTGCACCACAGCTCACGAGACAGGCGTTCCAGGGCCTGGGGGAACTGGCGATGCGGTAGCGGGAACCGTGTGCATGGGAAGGTAGGATCCGAGGGGTGTCGGGCCACACACAGTCCAAGGCACCCTGGTGCCTCGAATGGGACAGGCACAGCCAGCGTGACGGGAGAACGGTCCCCAGAGTGCACGAGATACCGAGTTGTCTCGCAGCACGAGTTGCACTGAACACAGCAACGTCTTAACGGGTGGGCACCATCACGACCACTATTCTTGGGCTGGTAGGGTGGTATTCTTATTTTGAATGTTTCCACTAGACTGTGCCCAAAACAGTGAAGCACATAACCTCCGGGTCTCGGTTCCAGTGTCCGCCCTTCCATGGAACCTTCTCCAGACCTCCCCCCTTTCCAAGGAGATGTGATGGGCTCCTCCTCCGTGCTCCCCCCGGGACGTGTGCCCGTGTCCAGCGACACCTGTGCCAGGTGTCCACACCCTCCCACGCGCACCGCCAGCCTGCACCAGGGCAGAGGCAGGGACAGTGTTTGCCCACAGTCCCGCCATCCGAGATCTCCCCAGGGCTGCACGCACAGCCTCAGCTCAGCACGCTGAACGGAGAGGGGGGCCCACGGGCTCCGCCGGCACCATTTCCTCTCTGCCCCCCGCTGCCAGCTGCCGTCTGCCACCTCTGCCGCCGCCCCTCTGAGGCCCTGGCATCTTCTCCCCTCCTCCTCCTCCCTTTCTCTTCCATCTGCTGCTCCCAGCCTCTCCGCTCACACAGCCGGCTTTTCAACGTTTTTGCTTCTCAGTAGAAGTTTCCCAGTCGCCGGCTGGGTGTCGTCCCGTCACCGAGAGGTTACGGGTCAGGGCACATGCCCAGGCTTCCTCTGAGCCCCTGGCAGGGGACGCGCAGGAGGCAGCCGATCAGTGTTTTGCTCTCACATGGATGTTCCTCTCTCTCTCTCTCCCCCAATCCCTTCCTCTCTCTCTAAAAAAAAAAAAAAAAAAAAATCAATAAAAACATTTTTTAAAAGAAAGAGCCTTTCAGTGAGCACAACAGCATATTCAGTTCTTCTAATCTATTCAACATTCTTGCTGATACTTTTTTCTAAGCACCAATTGCTCTAGAGTTGAGTTTCAGGCATCTGACTCCCTAATAATTCAGACATAATAATATATTGAAAAGTGTGTTTTTCTGGTAACTACTCATAGCTGCCTTCCAGAATCTACAAAAGGCTCCTTTCAGAAAAGATGTTTGAAGTTAGGAGCTCAGCATGTGGTTTGCCCAAGACTGCTTCCAGATGTTGATAAATACAGTGGGAATGTCTTTAGGGGTACACACACGCACACACACGCGCACACACACACACACACACGCACATCAGTGGAGAGACTGCTCATTAAAATTAATTGATACTTTAAGATTTCCCCTTTAAATATGAAAGGACCTGTCTGAGCCGTAAATGTCGTTTTTAAGCGAACACCACCCGTAATGAGGACCAGAGAGCCTCCTTGGCCGCCTGGCCTCCCATCTTGCTCCGAATCCGCTGTCCTCACCACCTTACGTTTTAGGCTCAGTTGAATCTAGTCCACAGACATGCCCATGGGAGGTGACGACAGGTGTTTTATCTGGACCACACCCTGACACCACTTAACGATGGAGACGCCTCTTTAATTGGCTGCTTGAAAACGTGGAAGTCGAGTCGAAAGCCGGGCCGCCCTCTCCGGACGTGGGGACGTGGGGACGTGGTGTGTATGAGGACAGCAGACCGCAGGGGGCGACACGCGAGACCCACAGGCACCCAAGGGGCAGCTCCCGCACGTGCCCTCCCTCCGCGGGGGCGCAGCAGCGAGAGGGGGCGCCCAGCTGCTCCACAGGTGGGGGTGAACAGAGAGACCCGGGCACCAGCCTGGCCCTGAACCTCATGGCTCCTGCCTGCCCCAGTGACTCACTCAGAATGTCCCCGAATGTCCCCCCTGCCGTCCTGGGTCCTGAAGACGCCGCCCTCACCAGCGAAGACAGTCATGTTCCCAGTGGGAATGCTGGATACTCGGCATCCACGGTGCTCATGGTTCCTGAGTGGACGGTTTCCACGGAAACGTAAGCG